ACTTATGCAACAGTAATACCCCTCCCTTTCATCCCTGGGCTTGCTTTATTATTTGAAGAAAAGAGTTATACCCAATATGTATTTATAGTTGAATTTTACCAGAGTCACATCCTTGGGATTCTTTCTAACAGTAATCACCAATTCTCCAAGCTGATGCCAGACTCCATACCCAGGATCAACTGCTTAATGCTAGTCAATGATAAATAGTCAAGAATCAATACTTCCTGCTCTGAATTGAGAAATATGAAGTAAATAATGATGGATATGATAGCTGATAGCAAAATAAAATTTAATGATATTCAGCTCTCCATAGCCATAGATTTACAGGGTATATTGTCACACAGGAGAAAGAAAGCAGTTTTATGTTGAGATGAAGGAATGAGTCATGATAAATAATACTGAAGGCAGATACTGACAGACAATTCAGAGAGATTATACTGAAACCAGAGTAAAGGGGAAGTCACCAGTCACAGCAGAGAGATGTATTGAGGCAAGAAATAATATGATGATTTTGCTTTTCTCTTTCTTCTTTTGTTGTTGATGTTGTACTTGAACTCAGAGTCTGGACTCTGTCCCTTAGCTTTTTCAACTCTACCACTTGAACCACAGCTCCATTTCCAGCTTTTGGCTGATTAATTGGAAATAAGAATCTCAGGGACCTTCAAACACCAATCCTCACATCTTAGCCTCCTAAGCAGCTGAGTTTACAGGCATGAGCCTCTACTGCTCAGCTAAATGAGATGAGTTCTGACTCTGTATGGCTGGAGCATAGGCCCTCTCTTCACCCAGCTCCTCTTGAGGCAGCAGTGTTAGTGCTTTGTTTGGAGGATCAGATCCAGTAACCATCTTGCAGGCCTGCCTGAGAGATGGAAGAGAGAAATAATATTTCCTCCTGTACTGTATTAGTTAAGATTTGTCCCATAGGGACTTAACTCCCAACACTTTCAGGTTGCTTATTCAGTGGGCTCCCATGAGCTCTCATGTCATATATCAAAGGAGAAACCACAGGTGAGAAGGTGTAAGACACACGAAACAGGGCCATGCTGAGGCTGTCCCTACTTGTGCCTTGTTAAGTCGACCAGAGTCTACACAGAACTACTAGTAAAGACTGGAATAAGTGGTTTACAATCATACTAAGAGCTAAGGCTAATCTGGGAACTGAGAACATTCAAGATCTACTCTCTTTTGGCTGGGAATGTGGCCTAGTGGTAAAGTGCTTGCCTAGCATGCATGAAGCCCTAGGTTCGATTCCTCAGTGCCACATAAGTAGAAAATGTGGGAAATGGTGCTGTGGCTCAAGTGGTAGAACCTAGCCTTGAGCAAAAGAAGCTCAAGGACAGTGCCCAGGCCCTGAGTTCAAACCCCAGGACTAGCCAAAAAAAATTTTAATTAAAAAAAATAAGATCTACTCCCTTAGCAAATTTTAAGTAAACAGCATACTATAACTATTGTCATATACTGTACATGAGCTTTGCAGAATTTATTCATTACACATAAGTGAAACTTTATACTCTTTGAGCAACTTTCCCATTCTCACATCCCCAAGTCCCTGGCAATGATCATTCTGCTCTCAGTGTTACTAAGCAAGGGCTAACTACACAATAGTCATAAAAGCAATACAATGGAACTGTATTTTGCAAAAGGAAAGACCTTTATCATAGATAGGTAGACCAAACAGTAGAAAAGAGATAATGTTCAAATCCATCTTCCCATAAACCAGTAGCAAAAGAATTTAAACAATCCTAGATTTAGGGGAAATAGGGGATGATTGATGGGAGTTTTCATGGAATCGATTGCACAGTACAGCAGTCTGGATGAGACTTGTGGAGAATTTGGATCCATCATGCAAAGTCAACAGCATCCCTCACTTTTTTGTACCAGTTCTGGGGCTTGAAATCAGGGTCTAGGCACTATCCCTGAGCTTCTTTTGCTCAAAGCTAGCACTCTACCACTTGAGCCACAGCTCCACTTGCAGCTTTTTGCAAGGTAAGAGTCTCACAAGAAAAAACAGTGCTGGAGGAATATCAATACCAAATTTCAAACTCTACGACAAAGCCATAGTAATCAAAACAGCTTTGTACTGGCACAATAACAGGCCTGAGGACCAATGAAATAGGACTGAAGACCTAGAAATGAACTCACAGACCTATAGCCACCTAATCTTTGACAAGAGAGCTAAAAAAAATAGAGTGGAAGAAAGACAACCCTTTCAGTAAATGGTGCTGGCAAAATTGGTTGAACACTTGTAGAAATCTAAAACTGGATCTGTATATATCACCCTGCACCAGAATCAACTCCAAATGGATCAAAGACCTCAAAATAAAAGCATACTCCATGAAAACATTGTAGGATGGAATAGGAGAAAATCTAGGACTCCTTGGCACAGGCCAAAATTTTCTTAACAAAGACCCTGAAGCAAAACAAATCAAAGAAAGTTTGGACAAATGGGATTGCATTGAGCTGCAGAGCTTCTGCATGGCAAAGGACATAGCTAGCAAGATCAACAGAAAGCCCACAGACTGGAAGAGGATCTTCACTAGCCATACAACAGACAAGGGTCTCATATCTAAAATATACTTAGAACTCAAAAAACTAAATCACCCAACAACAAATCCTCAAAGAAACAACAGCCCAATAAATAAGTGGCTACAGACTTAAAGAGAGACTTCTCTGAAGAGGAAATAAGAATGGACAATAGACACATGAAGGTATGCTTGACCTCTCTAGCCATAAAAGAAATGTAAATCAAGACAACGCTGAGATTCCACCTCACCACAGTTAGAATAGCTATAATCAAGAAATCTAATAACAACAGATGCTGGAGGGGATGTGGACAGAAGGGAACCTTACTTCATTGTTGGTGGGAATGTAAACTTGTTCAACCACTTTGGAAAGCAGTATGGAGTTTCCTCAAAAAACTCCACATAGAGCTCCCCTATGACCCAGCAATCCCACTTTGGGGCATTTACCCAAACGATCACAAACAAGGTCATACCAAAGCTACCAGCACAACCATGTTTATCGCAGCATTGTTTACCATAGCTAAGATATGAAACCAACCCAGATGCCCCTCAGTAGATGAATGGATCAAGATATGTGGTATATGTATATACAATGGAATTCTATGCCTCCATCAGAAAGAATGACATTGCTGCATTTGTTAGGAAATGGAAAGACGTGGAAAAAAATATATTAAGTGAAGTAAGCCAGGCCCAAAGAAGTATAGGTCCCATTGTTTCCTTTGTTTGCAGAGACTAGTACATGTCTAGGACAAGCAGAGTAGGTCAAAGGTTATGTAAATATATGACCATATGAGATAATGTTAAGCAAAATGTACCCCAAGACAGGGACACAAGAGGTTTTTTTTCTTTCTTTCTTGCTAGTGTTTTTAATGTACTTACAATACACTATGTGATTCTTTTGTTTCTGTTGTATGTTCTCACCCCATGGTATAACCCCTGTTTTCACTTAATTTGATGCTGATGCTCTGCACCTTGTATATATATATATATATATATATATATATATATATATATATATATATATATATATATATTTGTAATTTGGGGAGGGGAAGGGATATTACAGAAAGTTTAAATGAGGATGCAGGCTGACCCATTGTGACAACAAGATATACAGAACACTATATTGAAAATGAGCATTACAATGTCGGGGGTGGGGGTGGAGGAATTGGGGAGGTGGCGAGGGAAGTGATGGTAGGGGAAAATAAAGGAGGAGGTAACAATGCTCATTATGAAATGTGCTCATTACCCTACTCATGTAACTGTAACCCCTCTGTACAGTATTTTTACAATAAAAAGGTAATTAAAAAGATAGCAGGTATTTGAGATAAAGAAGGCCCACTTGAGGACTACATTGTCTGTGTGATGTGGAAAGAAACAACGAATCTGTTACTGAACATAAAGGGAGCGAGTTGTTCAAAATGAAGTGATTATCTTAAAAAAACTGGGGAAAAAATTTATGAAGTCACGCTAAGGCCTCAACTCCTCAATATAAATTTTAAAGTTTCTTTAAAACTTTAAAGAAACTAAGTTTACTTATCTCCTCAACAAGACAGCACAAAGCAAAGTGTAAATTTGTCTCATTTGTCAGGAAGTAATCTTGAATGAATAACCATAGATGCCATTCCATTTAAGAAAGATCTATTACTGAGGTTCTCAGAGACATACAATAGAATGGAGAGAGCACTGATACAGGGAGAGAAACAGAGAATAATGTGAATCCAGAGTGACTGCCTTATATAAAACAAGCATTGTAAGTCAAAATTTCCATTTTTAAACACTTACTGAACACAAACCCCATTTTTCCTTTTACATAGCAAGATTGTTAGTTTCAAATTAGCTGATCTATTAAGACTATCAATTGCCATAAAATTAGAAATGACTCTACACATCAAACTGAAATGGAAAATATCAGTTGTAGCCATGGTCTGGGTATTCAAGCTTTCCAGTCTGTATCTATCCCAGAATGAGAACTGAGCATTCAGCACAGGATTGGGGAGCTCTCAGAATTCTATTAGCTCTCTATTTTCTCTCAAGTGTCCTTAGTTTTCTTGGGCTGGATTAGGCAACCACAGGGCTACCAACCACATCCTTCTACAACACTACTAACACTCTTCAAACATTGCTAACTCCTACAGGATTCATCCTGAGTCTGCTCAGAGGAGGCTTAGGAATTTTGGAATCATCAAAAGATTTCAGATTCAGATGGTTCAGATGATCAAGTTCAGACGATTCCAGTTTCAAATTCATTGATGCTGGTAATCTCTGAAGCCAACAACTTAACTTCAATGGGATACTGCATAGTCTATGATTCTGGACTTCTCTTTCCCTCTTTTGGTATAGTTTCTCCAAGGATTTCAAGGCAGCCACAACTTTCCCCAAGGATCTGAATGAGATAATCCCTTCTGGCTTAAATCTGGCCTTCCTTGGAGACAGGCACTGTTTCTAAAGTACAGTACTCTAAATCTCTTGCTGCAGTCTCTTGCTGCAGACATCCTGGGCTCCTACAGTTGGGGACAACAGCCAGCGTGAGTACCTGGTACCCCAACACTCTCCTTCTCCACTCTTCAGTCAGATGACTGCCAACATCTCAGGCCCAGATGGAGATGTCATTAAGTATAGGCTGAGTGTAAAACAGAACAAGGCAAAATACTCACTCTGGGACAATGAGACGAGTCTGTCCTCATCAAGCTACTGGAGTTGACAGCTCAGATACAAACTGGAATCTGACACCATTTCCTGCGACAGAGAGGTAGAGTAGAATCTCAGAGATAGTGAGCAAATGTGCCCAGTTCCCTATTCTGAGGTCATCTGAGCCCTAAGGTCATCATCTGAGATGACCTATGTGGAGTGATTTCTAGTCACACTCTTCAGGCTGGAAGGGCTCCTCGAGATGTCCATTGAGTGATATAAAAGAAATCTGATTTCCTGGCCCTGAGTGGAGTAAAGAGAGTAGGCAGTCTCCTTCTCCACAAAGTGCTTGTTTTCTTTATTGTTCTTTCCATTTCTCCCTGGCATCTCCGGCTTTACAGTCTTATTGGTAGAAATTTTTCAGAAAGTAATTTATCTTCTGCAAGAGTGGAAGGCACAGCCAGGACAGGAGACTATACCTTTTCCTTTCATAATCTTCATGGTTTTAATCACACTCCTCATGTTCACTATTATCTGCTCTCAGTCATTTTCAAATGAATCTGTGCCCTCTCTATAAGAAAGTAGACTATTTCTATCGTTTCTTAGCATTTTTCCTACTTTTAGTTTCTCTCTACCTCTTCTCTCTATCTCTTCAGCTGCTGATAAGGTAAAATTTTAAGCTGTCAAAAAGAAAGATGTGCCTCAGTTATTCTGGCATTCATTTAAGTCATTGGGTCATCATCCTGTGTTTAAAAATGTTTTCAGATATTGAAATAGGTACAGTATTATAATCATTCAAAACTGTCATCATAAAAACTTAACTAGTCTTATCTTCACTAAACTACCAAACAAGCCAAAAGTGGTAGAGCACTAGCCTTGAGCAAAAGAAGCTCAGGGACAGATCCTAGACCTGCATTCAATCCTAGGACTGGTACATACACACCAATACAACCAGTATTTTTACACATTTCCACAAATATTCTGTAAATTGTATTTTTGTTCATTTGTTTACTTTTTACATTTGGTTTCACAAGACAAAATCCCAACAACATTCACACATGGCCTTTGATTTATCAGACCTCTTTAGTTCCATAGGTTCTACATATTTATTTATTATTTATGTTTTACTTGAGCAAGAAACTGGTATTTTTCTCCTACCCCAAGGTAGTTTTTAATTTGGATTTTTGAGACTATATCTGCTGGCATTTTTTACCACCTTTTTATTAGTATCAGTGAGTTGTACAAGTGAGGTCCATATTGACATGTCCATATATGTACTAAATGTGACTCATCTCCTCCCTTAATCTCCTTTATTCTTTATTTCCCCTTCTGAAGAAAATCTCAGTAAGCATTATTGTTTTGTTTTCATACACATACATAAAGTATTTTGGCTATATTCACCATTTATTTTGGCTCTCTGTTCACCATCTCAGTTGTCCCCAACCCCTGCACAGGAGTTTATATTACTGTCATTCATTTTATAGTGTATGTTAATTGTTCACTAGGATTTCCATTAGAATTACCCCCTTGTTTGCTCTCTCTTTTCCCATCCCCCCCCCCAGCAGCTTTTAGTGAGTTGTCATTTTGCTATCTTCATTCAAAAACACAATGTATTTAGGCATCTTTTTAACTTCCCTCCCTGCCTAGGTCTCTTTTAATTTCTGTAGGCCTGTAGCTAATTATGAGGTAGGCTTATTATTTTTGTAAAATACGCAGTGCTTACTTATTTTATCATGCTATTAGCCCGAGATGAGTTTCTCACTGGGTTTTTAAACATTAATTAATACTTTACTACAATCATATTGTTTAGCCATAAAACTTCTGTAAACAGAAAAGTTTTCCTCACCTATTTTTTTGTTCATAGCATGTGACTGGTTACAGAATAAAATCAGGTTGTTTAACAGTTCTCATAGTACCAACTAGCTAGCACCACTGACTCATTAGAGGTTACTAATGGGCACACACTTAGTGTGTTTGAATCCATTGCTATAATTGTTCTCACTGATGGTAGATTTTCATTTTCTCTCTAATTATCAACTCATTCTTAGTCTCTAATATCACATACTTTAACGTGATTGATGATTCCTTCAATTTTTGAAAGTATTTAGAAAAATTCATATAGAATGTTATTCCCTTTCCCATAATGATTCCGTATCTCAGAGAATTTATCTTTAACTTGTTTAATCCCTTTCAATGTTTAAGATATGTGTGTGTGTGTGTGTGTGTGTGTGTGTGTGTGTGTGTGTGTGTATGTAAGTTCATGGTAAAATTTCTTTATAGTGTAGTTAATCATTTGTGGAGTGTGTTTAATAAATATTAGTTGATGAGAGACAACAAAGAAAATGGCTAATCCAATGCCCTTAGTACCTATAGTTCGCTATGTACCTTTTAAAATCTACCAAAATAAGATCTACACAATCTTTGCCCTGTAGGCAAAATGCTTGTCAACATCACTAGCCTCTTGTCCCGACCACCACTCCAACAAAATTGGTCATTCTTACCTTCAGAGTAAGCTGACTAAATTGTCTAGATTTGGCATAATGTGAATTCTAGCCACCAGAGTAAAATCAGCCTATTTTGGGTGGGTTTTCCAATCTCTATTAAAAGAGATTAGAGTAGCCATTTCCCTTATTGGCTGTGCTCTGCTTTGACCAGCGGCTCATTGGCTTCAACGCTTGCTTGATTCAGATGTTTTTCTTGCACTCTTTCTCTGTGGTCGAGTCCTCGGTCCTCCTGGCCATGTCATTTGACCGCTTTGTGGCCATCTCCAACCCTTTGCACTATGCCGCCATCCTCACAAATACCATCATCATCAGGATTGGGATGGCCATTGTGGCTCGAGCCACTCTGTCCCTCTTCCCAGTACCCTTCTTGCTGAAACGACTCAACTTTTGCCCTGGTAAGATTCTCTTGTCCCACTCGTTCTGCTTCCATGCTGATGTCATGAAAAGGGCTTGTGCGGACATTACCGTCAACATCCTGTATGGGTTGTATGTGGTTCTGTCCACAGTGGGTGTAGACTCCTTGCTCATCGTCCTGTCCTACGCCCTTATTCTCCACACGGTGATGGGGCTGGCCTCTCCTAGGGAGCGTGTTTGAGCTCTCAACACCTGCGTTTCTCATATCTTAGCGGTTCTGGTCTTCTACATCCCAGTCATAGGTGTATCCATGATCCATCGTTTTGGAAGACACCTACCCCACATTGTACATTCTCTTGTTGCCTATGTGTATCTGGTGGTTCCTCCTGTACTCAATCCCATTATCTACAGTGTCAAGTCCAAGCACATCAGGAAAGCCATGCTGAAGGTGCTTAGAAGAAAAGGCCAGAACTGAGGATACTGAACGTTTTCAGGGCTAAGAGCACTGTGCAGAGCTTGTTATACAGACAAACAAAACTTCTAAATGGATCAAGCCTTACTCATAGCTTCGTTAAGAGCATTCAGGAAGAGTGATGCCACATTGTAGTGAAACATGGTTACTATCGGATCAAATCAGGGTTTTTCACATGCTAGGCCAGCACTCTACCACTGGGGTACATTAGTAGCTCTGAAAAATTGCTTTTGAGTATTTACTGTCTCATTAATTTCACATATGTTTTCTAAATGCTGACTTTTCTAAATGTTGACTTTGTTAGCCCTATGTTAGCTACCAGAAACACAAAAATGATTTCTACATTGCTTTGTCCTTCAAAACTTCAAATTTGTGTATATATGTATATACACGTATGTATGTATATATACACACATATATATACATATATACATACATATATATGTACATAATATGTAATATATTATATATATGGGAATATGTGTAATTAGTTCATTATTAGAAGTCTGCAGAGTGCTAGATAAGCAGAAGAATAAGTTATTTACTTGTTTACTATTTGATTCCTTCAATGATTAAGCTAGAATAATTATAGCACCTCACTTATAGTAGTATGAGTGTCATTATACATTAAGGGATTTATATAAGAAGTAACTACCAATAAAAATTTTTCTACTCTTCTTATTGTATTAAGCAGTCATTTGCTTATTTTTGTATATACTTAAGGCTGAGAGATTTTAGAAATGAGCAAGATTCATTTTTCTGCCTTTGAGACCTCATAGTCCATTGAAGAAGAGAGAAGTAAGGTAATTATACACTAATAATAAGTTTCTAATATTGGGTAAGGAGAAGAGATTGGGAGTCAGAGGAAGTAGTAGAAGTGTGGACTTGTGTGTGTGTGTGTGTGTGTGTGTGTGTGTGTGTGTGTGTGTGATTGAAAGTATAAAAGGAGTTGAGAAAGTTAAAGGAAAGAAAAATGCCTTTGGATAAAAAAGGACTTTTAAAGAGTAAGGTTTGTCCTAACTTGTAAAAATGAAGAATTGAGATAAACCCCCAGAAAGTTCAAATAAGCAGAAATGGGCAAGAGGATGTAGAACTCACTGGGTATGAGTATGGAAGACACATTTGTATGTGAGAAAGTTGGCTGTAATTTGAAAGCTTATTTAAAGATTTTTTTCTAAAATCAAGATTAAAGTAATTGGTTGTATACTGTTCATGCAATCTTTTGACCACTCAACAAACTACATCTTAGCTGGGCACTGGTGGCTCATACCTGTAATCCTAGCTACTCAGGAAGCTGAAATCAGAGAATTGCAATTCAAAGCCAGCCAGGGTAGGAAAGTCCCTGAGATTCTTATCCCCAGTTAACCACCAAAAAGCTGAAAGTAGAGCTGTGGCTTAAAGTAGTAGAGTCCTAGCCTTGATTACAAAAGCTCAGGGACAGCATCCAGGCCCTGAGTTCAAGCCCCACAACTGACGGGAGTGGGGAGAGGAGGGGAAGACCTAAATTTTCCCTAAATCAAAATTCATTTAGCAGGTGAAACCAAATTACAAGCATTCAATAATTAATTGACTCAGGGCAAGAAAAAAAGAGCATTGATTTTGAACACAAGTGACAAACAAGGTCCTGAAATTTGGTTGGTTGTCTACAATGTATGTTTAGTCATTGTTGCATATAAAAGCAGTTTGGGATAGCTTGTAAATACAGAAAATCAAAATTTAATGAATTAATTAATTAATACAGAAAGTATTTTTTATTTTTACATAGCTGTACAGAGGAACTGCCATTACAGAAAGCGGTTCATGAATACAAGGCATCTGGATCATGTCACCCCTTTCAACATTCTACCCCATCCCTCCTCTATCCATTCCTTCCTTCCAGCACCAGGCATTGATGGACTGTAAGAGGGACGAGCCAATTAAAAATGGTGAAGTAGGAAGATTAAGATTACTGAGATGTCTTGAGAAATCTGTAGAGGATAAAGACAGAAGAGAGGTGGTAGTATGAGCTGACAGCAAGGACACAGACAACCAACTTCCTCAAGAAACTGAAAGGACTGATTAGCCAGACTCCAGTGGCACAAGCCTGTCATCCCAGCTACAGGAAATACTGACATCAGCAGGATCACAGGTCCAAGCTAACCCAAGCCAAAAAGTTTGCAAACTTGTATCTCAAGAGAAAAAGCTAGATGTAGTAGTGCGCAAATGTCATCTTGGCTCTGGTGAGAAGCATAAATAGTAGGATCAATCCCAGCTGGCCTCGGTAAAGAAATAAGAACCTATCTCAAAAATGACCAGAGCAAGCCAGGCACTGGTGGTTCACGTCTGTAATCCTAGCTACTCAAGAGGCTGAGATCTGAAGATCAAGGTTCAAAGCCAGCTTGGGAAGGAAAGTCAGTGAGACTCTTATCTCTAATTAGCCACCAGAAAACCAAAAGTGGTGCTGTGGCTCAAGTGGTAGAGCGCTCACCTTGAGCTGAAGAGCTGACGGACAGCCCCCAGGCCCAGAGTTCAAGCCCCACAACTCACAAAAAAAATGACCAGAGCAAAAAGGGCTGGAGGTATGACTTGACCAGTAGAGTTCCTGCCTAGCAAGTCTGAAGCCCTGTACTTCCCCCTCAAAATAAAGAAATAAAATGATGAGATTGTGGGCCATTTAACTTGGGATTGAAGGATGGGAAGAAGAGTATACAGGCAAGGTACATTGGTCAGAGATAGTGAATGAATGAAAAGAGGTCCATCAGCCTTAACCCTATGTATACCATCATACGAAGCTACAAGGGCACATTTGTTTCTGGGTGTCCTTGCCAGACTTCTTTAAGTAGGATAAGGTTAAATTAAATACTTGAATTTCCTTAACCTGGCTTAAAAAAATCATTCTTTAGAAATTTAATCAAACCTTTCTGGGAAATGTCTTCTGTGATAGACCAATCACTCATAAACCAAATCTGCATCAGATTCACCCCATGTGTGTAATTCATTGCTATCTGGGGTAAGGCCTCCTTCCCTGCCTTTTCTTTTTTTTGGGGGGGGGGGCCGGACATGGGGCTTGAACTCTGGGCCTGAGCGCTGTCCCTCAGCTCTTCAGCTCAAGGCTAGCGCTCTACCACTTGAGCTACAGCACCATTTCCGGCTTTTTTCTTTTTGCTTATGTGGTGCTGAGGAATCTAACCCAGGGCCTCAGGCATGCAAGGCAAGCGCTCTACCACTGAGCCACCTTCCCAGCCCCCTTCCCTGCCTTTTCCAAACCAGCTCCCTATTCTAGTATTCAAAGGCTGGAGAACACAACTCCTTTCCTTCCTTTTCCTTCATGTGTTTTAGACTTGGCTATTCATTCTCTTATTCATTAAAACAAGCAAATATTGACTGGAAATTTGCTCTATGCCAGACATTGCACTATGTGAGAGTTCTGTGCTAACAAACAAAACCAGATTCTTGAGGCTTGCTGTCTAATGAGAGAAAGAGAAAGTCATCAAAGGAAGGAAGTAACCATAAAATTTTAAAAATCAATTGAGTGATATAGAAACTACAAATGTGTGATGGAGGATAACATAGAGGGTATGTGGCTTGGATATCTATTTGGTAATGATCACCTAAATAACCATTAAACGTCTTACCATTTAAAACATCATTAAAGCCAGGCACTGATGGCTCACACCTGTACTCCTAGCTACTCAGGAGGCTGTGATCTGAGGAATGCTGTTCAAAGCCAGCCCAAGCAGGAAAGGCCATGGGATTCATCTCCAATTAGCCACCAGAAAACCAGAAATGGAGCTGTGGCTTAAACTGGTAGAGTGCTAGCCTTGAGCAGAAAAGCTCAGAGACAGCACCCAGGCTGAGGGACAGTGCCCAGGAGCAGAGTTCAAGCCTCACAACCAACCAAAAAAAGAAAAAAAGAATATAGAACAAGAGGAAGCCTGGGGTGTGATAAGGATAGAGAAGGTATGTGCTTCATATTGGAGTACATAAGCCTTATCATGGGGATTATAAGGTGACACAAATACACCGCTGAAGAATCTTAGAAGAGATAAAACACAAATAAGTCATTTCCCCTGAACTTCGGTTTCATCATCCCTAAAGCATGATGTCCAAGACAGGCATAGTAATTTTCCAGGTCTACATTTCAGAATACCTATGAGAATTATTATATCATATGTGGAGAAAAATTTTGAGGAATACAACATGTTAGATAATACAAAATAGCAAAACTCATATTTGTGATATTTTGCAGTTCAGTTATTTTTCCATACAAGAGCTCATCAGAATAGAGGACTGGAGTTATAATCCGACACCGGAGATTCAAACTCCATGACTACAATATATGAGCCACTCAGTAGATATTGGCCACTTTTTCTTAACTCTTAACATGGATAACATTGCCTCATCCACGACTGTAAATATGAAGAAAGTCAACCCAAAATGCTTAAGCATACATCATAGAACTTGTTATTCAACAAACGTGTGCTATAGAAAAGAATCAAAGATAACCAGATGACCTAAGGATTAATTGACTTCAGGAAGTGCAAAGCCATGACTGAGGGACTGAGCAACTTCTCAGTCTCAGACTCTTCAGAGGGCTGGGTGAACTCATTCGTCATTCCTTGGTTCTGTCTGCTTATCTGATTCAATTGTCCTCACCGATTTCCCTCTGGACACATGGAAATATCCTCTCCTCAATTTGAGCAAAAAGTGGACACTGGCTAGATGAAATTTGAAATACAATAGGTTCTGAGTAAAATAAAAGAACATTGCTGTAGCCTGGTAAAATTCTGTTAGTTGCATTGAAATTCCTTGTCCTATGCTAATTCAGTAGCAATATCGTTAGGCTTATTTCTATTAAAAATTTATGCTCAGCATATATTTGTAAAGGATTAAGGATTCACAAGTATATAAAAACTACTAACACATTAACTATGTGTCCAAAATTGAGGTATAAATATATATTATATTTTTTCTGAAAATAAACTGCAGTCTTATTGGGGAGGAAATATTTCTTCTGCTCCAGA